CACGCAGACACTAGACTCTAGACACTAGACACTAGACACTAGACACTCAGACACTAGACACTAGACACTAGACACTCAGACACTAGACACTAGACACTCAGACACTAGACACTAGACATACAGACACTAGACACTAGACACTCAGACACTAGACACTAGACACTCATTCACTAGACACACAGATACTCGGACACCTAGACACTCAGATAATAGACACTAGACACTCTGACATTCTATGTCAGGTCCACACACGGCTATGAGTTAATACCTAATAATAATAACGACCCTCTGCTCCTTAGACAACCAATTCTAGGCGGCATATTTTTTTTTTTTTTTTTATACCACTGAGGTGGCAAACAAGCATACGGCCCACCTAATGGTAAGCGGTTACCGTAGCCTATGAACGCCTGCAATACCAGAGGTATTACGCGCGCGTTGCCGACCCTGAAGAAACCTCTTTACCCCCTTTTGAAGAACCCCATGCTGTAGTCTCTCGGGAAAACCTCGGCAGGGAGCTCATTCCATAACCTGAGTGTTCGTGGGAGAAAGCATCTCTGAAACCGCGTTGTACGCGACCATTTAGGCTGTAAGGTATGAGGGTGAACGCCCTGCCGATGGCGAGCCGTACGATGATAGAAAGTGGCCGTAGGCATCATATTGAATAATTCCTCTGAGCACAATCCGTTGTATAAGCGGTAGAACACGCAGAGTGAGGCAAAATCTCTCCTAAGACTTAAGGGTTCGATACCGCTTGCAAGCATGGGATCATCGACAATTCTCATAGCTCGTCGTTGCACTGAGTCGAAGGGTTCAAGCTGGTATCTAGGTGGTCCCGCCCATAAGTGACAGCAATACTCCATATGGGGCCGGATTTGCGATTTGTAAAGCATTAATCGCTGATCCGGCATAATGCTTCGCTCTATTGAGCACACCGAGTTTTTTGGATGCCAGCTTCACCTTATCTTCGAGGTGGCCACGGAACTGTACGTCACTAGAGATGTCGACACCAAGGATCCCAATGCTTTTAGAGATGTTAAGAGACGTGCTTTGGAACTGTGGGGCCACAGCAAATGGGGTTTTTTTAGCGGTGAACGGGCAAGCTTGTGTCTTAGAGGGGTTAAATTGGACCAAGTTTTGTCGTCCCCAATCAGAGACTCCAGTTAGTGTTCTCTCGATTTCAGACACAAGCTGTTCACGATTGTTCTCCACGATGGAACGGGAGACATTGGTACGACCCGTATAAAGGGCATCCCCGGTGCTGTCATCCGCATAACAATGAATGCTACCGAAGGTTAACATATCATTAATATGCAGTAGAAACAGCGTCGGGGACAGCACAGAGCCCTGCGGGACGCCAGCGTTAATATCCATGCTATCGGAGCAGCAACCATCTACAACGGTTTTTATACGTCTGCCTGATAAAAAACTGGCGACCCATTTACAGAGGCTGTCGGGAAGTCCATAGTAGGGCAATTTCGATAGAAGACCCCGATGCCAGACCCGGTCAAATGCCTTTGCAATATCAAGACCGACAGCAAGCGCCTCACCTTGACTCTCAATGGTATATTGATATAAAACAATCAGATTTTAATTTAAACCTTCAGGAATACAACTTTGAAAGCCGCTTGTAGTTTTTACGCGATGTCGAAACAAACATACAGATATTTCTTCTATTGTGTCTACGAATCAATTCATCATTCGTCGACGTATTTTATTATCGTTTAAAATAGTGATATCACTCGACTGGAGTCGATGTTTATTTGAACAGAGCAAAATCTGCATGTTACTTGTAATATGTAAATAGATAGATAGATAGATAGATATATACTTTATTTGTACACACAAATAACATTAGCTATTGGTTCATATTAAAAAAAAATAAAAAAATAAAATATATGCAAAAATTAAAAACAAAAAAAGTACATAAAATAGGTTATATATATATATATATATATATATATATATATATATATATATATATATATATATATATATATATATTTGCGGTTTGTCGAAAAAAACTCCGTATCGTTTAAAGCCCAGTGTACGCAACCAATTATCGTTAAAGTGTAATAAATTTTACAGCTGTATTGGTTACTGGAAGCAGAAAAAAGGATTTCATGAATATTTTAATGAAATTTATGAAGTAATCTTTATATATATGTACGTGTTTTTTGTTTTTGTTTTTTATTTTTTTAAATATTTTAAGGGCTTTTACCTTCTTCAGGTATATCAGTCCTATTGTACCCTGAACTGATTTCTCAAACAAAACTTTATCTACCTTCCCTAGACGCGGAAAGAGAAGAATTAATGGGCATCAATATATTCATACATCGGAAATTTTCGCTATGTATTTTTAATTAATAAAATTACATAAATAATATATACATTTAATTTTTTTATATTTTTTTTAAAATAAGGGTTGATTCCTAATTCCAATGAATTATTAACACCAATTATTATGAATGGTTAACACCAATGAATTAGGAATCAACCCTAAATAGTAGGAATAGGAGGAAGGGATTGTTAGTAACGAGGTATATTATTCGCATTGCTAGCAATATATCACCAGATAATATCACCAGAGGGAGACTTTGTACAAAAGTCGTTTGATTGGGCACCTCTGTCCCATTCATGTTTCAACCGTGAAGCAGTTGTATTTGCATGGCTGTGTTTCGGTTTGAAGGGATATGGCAGTGAATTTACAGGGTACAGAGGAATAACACCTGAGTCATCAGGAATGGCAATGCATGGGGGTATCGTGGGCGAAACAGTATACTTTGTTATGTTCATGGTACTGCTCATGTCTATAGGCGACGGTTACCACTTTCCATCAGATGGGCCGTCAGCTTGTCTGCCATTCTAAGTTGTATAAAAAAAATCCGACGAGATGGACTTCCATGCGGAGCCTTCCGGAAATCATTGTGGTTAATTAACTATAGTTATGACAATAATTCATTTAACAAAAATATACAAGATACATATTTAAATTTTTTTTATGGATGATAATTGAATAGTAACCCCACCCGCGCTATCGGTATACACCGGCGGGGCACCAGTGAAGAATGATAGGTGAGGATGAAGTAGGCCAGTTAGCCCATCATGACGAATTCAACAATGATTGTTCACGATGGTTTCCAGGGGGAACCACGTGGAGGTCGACCTAATAAGGTATATTGCTAGCAATGGGGCTGTCAAACTCCATTGCTAACAATACTTTTCCCCCCAACATATTTTCATTGATGTATCAAGTTGAAATTAATACATCCATGTGTTTCTAAGAAAAAGAGTCTTGATGGACCGACGGGTAGACAACGAAGTGATTCTCTAAGGATTCTGTTATTTCCTTTAGGGGTACGGAACTCTAGAAATGACAATTTAAAATCGCTTGTGATCAAGTTCAGATGAATAATGATATATTTCTATTCTATTCTGGATATTAAGTGAAACATACTCAGTAACAATGGTATTACATATGTGCCAAGTTCCAGCCGTGTAATCGCTCGCAAGACGAACGCCTGCCGATCCGTCCTGAATACGCAATTGTTCTAGAATACTTTTATTTATGCTCACATCGCCTCCAAACTTGTGCCATGGAAAGTTCTTTCTGTTCTAATCTGTCACGCGATCAGTCATGCGAGGTCTTTGTTGTCGAGTCCCTTTCAAACTTCAGTCGATCATTCATAACTTGGTAATGCCAAGAAATAAAACAAAACTCAAATATGGCCATTGTCTTTTTGTCAATCATATTTTGTTCAAGTTATAGCAAAGTTGATAATATAAATTAACTTAATTTTTATTATTAATTATTTATATAAGTAGTTAGGTATTTTTGATGGACGCTAATGTAGTGGTAGTTGGCAGGCTTGGCAGGCTGACTGGCAACCACAGTCAGGATTTAGAGATATTTTAAGAGGGACGCTGCTGCCCATCCTTCGTAGTCTCTTGGTTGGCTCATAAGACACTTACGGGAAAGGAAGGGGTAGCCTATTTGATGTCGGGACTTTATCATCTTATTTTATTATCTTATAACTCTGTTATTTATAACATACTATTAAAATTTTCGAAAATAATATGTTAGATATTAAGTTACTAATATTTTTTTTATTCAACTTAGAATAGCAAACAAGCTGATGGCCCACCTGATGGAAAGTGGTAATCGTCGCCTATAGACATGAGCAGTACCATGGACACAATACTGAGTAGTATACTGTTTCGCCCATGATACCCCGAATGCGTTGCCATTCCTGAGGATTTGGGCGTTATTCCTCTGTACCCTGTAAATTCATTGCTATAGTATATGGTGAAATATGTCTCACCCTTTAAACCGAAACACAGCCATGCAAACACAGCTGTTTCACGGTAGAAACACGAATGGAATAGAGGTGCCCAAGTAAACGACTTTGTACAAAGTTTCCCTCTGGTATACTTGATAATATGTTATAAATTAACTAAGTTACTTGCTGATATTTTTTTTATGGATGACAATGGAATGGTAACCCTGCCTGCGCTAACGGTATACACTGGCGGAGCACTAGTGAGGGATGATAGGTAAGGATGAAAAGACAGATCAGTTAGCATATCGTGATGAATACACCTGGAATTCGGCACGATGGTTTCCAGGGGGGATCATGGGGAGGTCGACCTGTTAGGGTATATTGTTAGCAATGAGAATGGAAACCCGCATCACTAAGAATCCCTTCTCCCCAGTAGGGAGGTATTACATTAATGTATTTATATAATTATTACTCCTGTGGTTCCGGCATAGAATAGGTCACCCCTTCCTTTCCCGTGGGTGTCGTAGGAGGCGACTAAGGGAGGGCGAGGGATGGGCAGCAGTATTCCTCTTAAAAGATCTCCAAAGCCTAACTGCGGTTGCCAATACGCCTTCCAAGCGAGGCACTTACTGGCAAAATCCCCTAAGGGTGAGGCTTATGTTCATCAATGGACAGTAAAAGGCTGATATGATGATACAGCTAGGAAGCAGTAAGGATACTCACGAATGTGGAGTTGTTCATGAGAAGCCGGGTGGTGAAGTTTCTCACGTTGAACAGCGTGAGCCCGCCCCACCGGTCGCGGAATACCAGCTCTTCGTCTGAAACAAAATCAACAGTTATTATATGTAATTGTAGCAAACTAATTAACGATTTTTAAAGTAGATAAAATAGATGAGAGAAGATGAAACGAACTATGAGAATTGTCGATGATCCCAGGCTCACAAGCGGTATCGAACCCTTAAGTCTTAAGAGAGATTTTGCCTCACTCTGCGTGTTCTACCGCCTGTACAATGGATTGTGCTCAGAGGAATTGTTCAATATGATGCCCACGGCCACTTTCTACCATCGTACGGCTCGCCATCGACAGGGAGTTCACCCTCATGTCCTACAGCCGCAATGGTCGCGTAAAGCGCGGTTTCAAAGATGTTTCCTACCACGAACACTCGGGTTGTGGAATGAGCTCCCTGCCGAGGTTTTCTCAAGAGCCTACAGCATGGGGTTTTTCAAAAGGGGGTAAAGGGGTTTCTTCAGGGTCGGCAACGCACGCGTAATACCTCTAGTATTGCAGGTGTTCATAGGCTACGGTAACCACTTACCAACAAGTGGGTCGTATGTTTGTTTGGCACCTCAGTAGTATAAAAAAAAATAGATAAATCCTTCACTCTTGAAGCCTTATGACTCTCGAATGCTCTACCCATTGACATAAGACAAGTGTTTAACAAATTTACTTTTAAGAGAAAAGTCTACGAATATCTTTTGAAGAAGTTGTGAAAGCAGTTCATCATCTTCATCATCATCACTTTTGATCTCTATCGTTGTTTATTTGTGTTATCGTATACAATCTATAAGTATGTATGTATATTTATATTTGTATGTATGTTTTTATGATATATATTTGTATATTTTTTTTATACAAAGAATGTCAAACAAGTTGCGGCCCACCTGATGGAAAGTGGTAACCGTCACCTATAGACATGAGCAGTACCATGGACATAACAGAGTATACTATTTCGCCCATGATACCCCCCATGCGTTGCCATTCCTGAGGACTCAGGTGTTATTCCTCTGTAACCAGTAAATTCATAGTCATACCCTTCAAACCGAAACATAGCCATGCAAAAATCCTTTAAAACAAACGATCCTCCACTAATATCTATTAAAAAGTATTTCAAATAAAGTGAATTACGTATTGCAATGTTTAATTAGGTGCTTTCTTTTGTGGGAGCCACAAAGAGACTGGTGTAATTTTGAACGATTCTCTTGCGACGTCTACGAAGTATCCACTAATTAGTACTCCCGGGGTTTGTTAGTTTTACTTTATTTTAAACGGCTTCAGTTTTTACTCGATTGTCAAAGGAAAGCAGATAATGGTTTGATAATGTATTTATTTATACTTTATTGTACATAAAAGTCATATTATTATAATTTATTTTGAATAAAAATGCGAGCTTAACTTTGTTAGAGTTCTCTTCCAACACAGAAGAGATACATCTTTACCAGAGAGAGACTTTGTACAACAATTGTTTGCTTGGGTACCTCTGTCCCATTCGTGTTTCAACCGTGAAGCAGTTAAATTTGCGTGGCTGTGTTTCGGTTTGAAGGGTGGGCGGATATGGCGTGAATTTACAGGGTACAGAGGAATAACACCTGAGTCCTCAGGAATGGCAACATATGGCGGGTATCATGGGCGAAACAGTATACTCTGTTATGTCTATGGTACTGCTCATGTCTATAGGCGACGGTTACCACTTTCCATCAGGTGGGCCGTCAGCTTGTTTGCCATTCTAAATTGTATAAAAAAAAGTGTGTGTAGTAACCATTCTAGTATATATATCTCACAAAAAGTCATCTAAAGCAAGGTTCCCTAATTGGCAATTATTTTATTCAGTATTACCTTCGCAGATTACTTTTTTCTTTTTTTTTTACTAATTCAATGCTGTGTTTCTTTAGCGTAGTAAGAGATCAGAAGTCCTTAGAATAATATCTTATTTTCATATAGAAATTTATTTTATTGTCAACATTTAAATTTCGCATAACAGAATGGTTAATAATACAATTTCGTACCGTCAATTACGAGTATATTTTTCGTTATTCCTGTCTACGGTCGACTGGTAGATAACGCCATGTGGTGTTAAGTCCGCCATTTATATTTTTAAGGTGTATTAAAATAAATAAATAAAGTAGAAATTTAGTATATATTGGTCTTTAGAAGAAAAATTTTACTCTGACATCAAATTGACACGTAAATTTTATAGTGAAACTAGCTGACTCGGTAAACGTTGTTTTACCATATATATTATTTCTAGAACTGTGTATAAAAATTTATTTTACTACAATTATTATATTCGATTGCCATCTTGCAACCCTATTGCGGAATATAAAAATTGCGATTAAACAACAGGGGTTGATCGTAAAACGGTGAAAATTTTAATTTGTATCTATTTTTCCGTGCTAAATCATAATAAACTAAAAATAAAAAAAAAAATTGACAAAAAAATAGAAATTTTAGGGTAGCTCACCCTTATCATTGAGGGGTATAAAAATAGATGTAGGCCGATTCTCAGACCTACCCAATATGCACACAAAATTTCATGAAAATCGGTAAAGCCGTTTCAGAGGAGTTTGGCAATAAACACCGCGACACGAGAATTTTATATGTTAGATTTATATAACATAGGATAGAAGTAGGTTTAAAGAAATGAAGCCTTTAATCGATCCAATGTCTAGTTCCAATATTATATATGTTACCCACAAACAAGTACAACCTAAAAGTGCCAATCACAAAAATCCGCTTCAATTTATAGCGAAACATTCACTTTTTAATTTGTTGCCGGTTAAAACCTCCCCCGGTTATATGAAGCTCATCAATTCACCCGGGCCGGGTCGACCCCGCACAAATTGCCGGTATCCGGTGAAGATCGTCGTAATACGAAATCTTGGAAAAAATATGTTGGGGTCGTGTTTTCTTTTTTTTTAAATAATTACTTATTATCTAGTTACATTGAACCGTTCTTTAAAGGAATATTTGGATTATTTCAGACTATTTATTAATCTTTACCAGAGGGAGACTTTGTACAAAAGTCGATTGCTTGGGTACCTCTGTTCCATTCGTGTTTTAACCGTGAAGCAGTTGTGTTTGTATGACTGTGTTTCGGTTTGAAGGGTGGGATATGGCGTGAATTTACTGGGTACAGAGGAATAACACCTGAGTCCTCAGGAATGGCAACGCATGGGGTGTATCATGGGCGAAACAGTATACTCTGTTATGTCCATGGTTCTGCTCATGTCTATAGATGTCGGTTACCACTTTCCATCAAGTGGGCCGTCAGCTTGTTTGCCATTCTAAGTTGTTTAAAAAAAAATTTGTAATCTTGTGATTTTTACCTTACATTACATTAATAACTGTCATGTGGTTCCGTCATAGAATGGACCACCCCTTGCTTTCCCGTGGGTGTCGTAAAAGGCGACTAAGGGAGCTTAATGGTCAAAGGATAGGTAGCAGTATCCCTCTTAAAATATCACCAAAGCCTAACTGCGGTTGCCAACCTCTCTGCAAAGCATAGGCAAAGCCCCCTTTATGGAGGAGGCCTATGTAAGCAGTGGCAAGTTAACAATTGATAAGACAAGCTGTTGACCCCAGGTTTGCGTACGTGATGTCTTTTATGTTACAAAGTTAAGCTTTTTTGACTTATGCTAGTCAGTCAGACAAAGAATTTTATAGGTGTAAATTAAGATATAGTGTCTTTCTACAAATACTTTAATATAGTGCATTTTTTTTATTATTACGCATATTAATTTGTATTATTTAAACAAATACTATAGAGAGGAAATATTTAAATTAGTTTGTAATGAATAAATTCAAAAACTACTAAATTGATTTTAAAAGTTCTTTCATCTATAGAAAGCTATAATTATAATAGTAACATGGATTACATTTTCAAAAATTTTTGGTTCCTTGTAAACCATAAATGTAGACAGCACAAATATTAGTAGACAGTGTGTACGTGGGACGGGTTACCAAAACATTATGGATCCATCCATGGTTTGTGCTGAAACTATTGGCTATTTATATATATATATATATATATATATATATATATATATATATATATATATATGTTATATACTGGCCACCAGTCGCTAGTTCGAATTTTTATATATGTGAAATATCTATTGACATGTGTCACAATTATTCTATTCTAATAAAATAACTTATGTAGATATACGTATTTTATAAATTGGCGACGATGTCAACTATCGATACAAAAAAATTGAAGAAAACACGAGCCTCGCTACGGGGTTTACTCACAAAACTAGAAAATTATATCACGACTAACGAAACAATCCCTCAAGAAGAAATTCAGTCAAGACTTCAATCACTTCAAGAAACATTACGAAAATTACAAGAAATTCAACACGAAATAGAAACAGAATCACCAGAGGAACAACTTAATGAAGAAATAGAAACAAGGTACGACTTTGAAGAGAAATGTACAATTTTAAAGACCAAACTTTTGATACTACAAAACAGAAATCACGAACCCACCGCAGCACTACAGCTATCCCCATCACCTTCGAGCACCAATTCACGTCAAGACAGAAATCCCAAAATGAACTTTCAACCATTTCAAGAAAAGGAAACCTTTAAAAATTTTACGAAAAGATTAACAGTATATTTCTTATTAAACAACATTGAAGACCCTAAAATTAAAGTATATATATTACTATCGGCGTTATCTCCTGAACTTCATGAAAAGTTACACGACCTATGCTCTCCTGAGGATCCAATTAATATGAACTTTATAGAACTTACTCGTACACTAGATGACCACATAGATCCAAAACCGAGTGTATGGGCATTACAACATAAATTTATTACACGGGTACCAAAAGAGGATGAAACAGTAGCAATGTACGCCTCCGAATTAAAGAAATTGTCCAACAACTGTGAATTCAAATGTCAAAACTGCCATAAACCAACCTTAGAAAGCTTCATATCACTGCAATTTATCCGAGGATTGAAGGACAGTGATATAAGAATAAGAATCCTACAAGACCGAGAAACTCCACCTTTTACGAGATTGGTACAAATAGCTAC